ATGCTGTTTTTATAGGTCAACGGATTTCTCATAATAATCACACATTTAAATAATCCCAGAATAATCCCACTTTTGCACCTCATCTTCTTTCATTGGATCCTGACCAGGGTTTTTACGCTTTCTTTGAAAATCATATAAATAATATCATCTTTCACTTTTTTATTACTGTATATCTTTATTGTGAGATTATTTATATAAGATTTTCAAAAAAGGTAAAAAACCTGATCAGGGTCCAATGAAAGAAGATGGGGTGCAAAGGTGGGAATATTTTGAGATTATGTAAAGGTTTGATTATTATGAGAAGACCCGTGAAAGGTGGGATTATCCTTGTCAATTTTTTCAATAAGAAAATCTGATGATATTTTAAAATCATATTCAAGAAATTTCTATATAGGTATTAGATTTATAGGTATTTTTGCACCATAAGTTAGCTACGGAGCATTAGTTTTTTGTTTTACCAAACCATTCTAATCTATGCAAGTAGTGTTTCATTTATAAACTTATCTTATTAGCCCGAACTTATTCAATAATTTTCTTTGAGTAGTTCTTTAAAGGTCTGTTTGCAACAGCTTCTGCTTTTAAAAAAGTGTTTTTTTTAATGAAATGGTGAGAAGTGATTAAATAAAAATTGATAGTGTTTGAGAAAAAGTGATTTTTAAAAGTAAAAGTGGGTAGTGTTTGGTAAAATAAGTGTTTTTTGTGTAATAGAAAAAGTAAAAGGACTTTTGACGCGGAAGCCGAGAAAAATAAAAGTTGTAGTGTTTGGGAAAATAAGTGCTTTTTTAAAGCCAAAAGCTGAGAAGTGCTTTTTTAAAAGCGGTTGCAAACCAACCCTAATTCATGTGATCGGCAGGTTAGCTATACAACATTACAGCCTATACTGTCATTTTTTCCCCATTTTGAAGCATGTTTTTATTTTGAAATACCATTTTATGTTTTTTACACCCCGTTTGATTACCTCTATTTTTTAATTATCAGTCAACTTTTCAACGTGTATCTTCTAATTTCACACATTGAATTATATAATGATCAATGTAAGTAAAATTTGACTTACTTTCTATTTGAATTGGCTGAAATTACCATAAATAACCATTTTATCAATTTTTTTCATATATCTTTTTCTTAATTTTATTATATATATATATATATATATATATATATATATATATATATATATATATATATAGTCCCGTTCCTATCAGGAGTTCCTGAAGAAAAGCCCCGTGCGGACAAGCCCATCAGATGGTCTTCCCGGTGGAATTTTTTGATGAAATTTTTTGAGCATGTTCCTCATCAAGTCTAGTTTGTCCATACCAAATTTCAGCTCAAAATTCGATTGGGAAAGCAGTCAAATAAATCCTGGAAACATACTGCCCTTTATATGTGCGCAGAATGAGCCATAGTTTTCCAGGATTTATTTGACTGCCTTCCCGATCGAATTTTGAGCTAAAATTTGGTATGGAAAAACTAGACTTGATGAAGAACATGCTCAAAAAATTTCATCAAAAAATTCCACCGGGAAGACTCTCTGATGGTCTTGTCCGCACGGGGCTTCTCATCAGGAACTCCTGATGTGAACTGCCCTCTCTCTCTCTCTCTCTCTCTCTCTCTCTATATATATATATATATATATATATATATAGGAAATCTTTCCGGTAAGGTATACCTTATCGGAGCCGCCGTGCGGCCTCCACGTTTTGAGGACCTTCCCGGTGTAATTTTTCAATGAATTTTTTTGAGCTTGTTCTTCATCAAGTCTAGTACATCCATACCAAATCTCGGCAAAAAATTCAATCGGGAAGGCAGCCAAACGATTTTTGGAAGATAACTGCGTTTTATATGTATATAAAAAGTGCAGTCATCTTCCAAAAATCGTTTGACTGCCTTCCCGATTGAACTTTTTGCTGAAATTTGGTATGGATGTACTAGACTTGATGAAGAACATGCTCAAAAAATTTCATCGAAAAATTCCACCGGGAAGGCCCTCAAAACGTGGAGGCCGCACGGAGGCTCCGGTAAGGTATACCTTACCGGAAGAGTTCCCTATATATATATATATATATATATATATATATATATATATATATATATTCGTATAATATGTTCACGATTGAGCAAATTTAACCACTTCAATCAAATTTCATCATTTTCAACATATTTATCAACTTATTAGCATTATTAGTAACCTTTTTATCAAATAGATAATTTTGATTTCACACGTTGAATTTTGTAATTATCAAAATAAGTATGATCAAATGTACCTTTTGGCTAAATTGACTAAAGTTACCAGAGTTGTCCATTTTAGTTGTTTTACATTTGATTTGTAAAAACAACTTTAAATAATACCAACTATCTTCAATGAAATAAATTTTTAATAATACCAACTATCTGAATGTGAACCAAAAATAAAATAGAAACACTATTCTATAAGAAATTCAGCCATTTAAGACATCAAAAACTAAGATCAAAACATCAAGTAATTGAGATTTGAAAATATGATCACTTAAATTATTTGATATTTTGATATTAGTTTTTGATGAATTGAATAAATAAATTTTTAGTGAAAATTTTCTATATATCATGTTTGATAGATATTCAAATAGTTGGTATTATTAAAAGTTATTTCTCAAGTTGGTATTATTCTTGATTGGTTCATGGAAGATAGTTGATATTATTTAAAGTTATTTTCTCTTTTTTATTTTATTGATAAAATATTTTTTTCAAAAATTCAACAAATTCAGCCAAGTCTATAGATTCATCAGCTAATTTTAGTGTTATCAACGTGCGCTCTATATTACCAATCGAGTTCTAAGTATTTCAAAGCTAGCATTGAAATAAACTAACAAACTTATCAGCTATGTAGTACGGAGTAATAAATTATATTCATGTTTCACACCACTAGCCGAAAAATACTTCTTATGTTTTTTAATATTGCAATTACGTAGTATTATCTCCGTCCCAAAAAACTTTGCCAAATTCAAAACTTTGATCAATTATATCTTTTTAATTAAAATTATTTATAATATAAAAATTTATGAAAATGTTGTTTGTTAAAAGTATTTTTATAAAAGTGTAAAATTTATAACTTTCATACTATTATGCTAATCGAAATCATGGTTCAAATTTTTTGAAATGGCAAAGTTTTTTTTGCGACGGAGGTAGTAATATTTAGAGGAGTCCTTAAATAGATGAAATTATAACTATCTGATCAGAGATGGTTGTTTGATATAACAAACTCTCATCACTAATTAATGCTAAAACCATTAAATATTCTATAATATAATAATATAAAAAACTTCTCGAAATAGCTTCTGTTGAGTTTAATCCAACACGATATAGTAAATATATGTATAAATGTGTATGAACAAGCTCATTTTTTACGTGGAAACCCGAAAGGGAGAAAACCACGGGACTTTTTAGGCTAATGTCCAAGCCCTCTCATTCTCATTAGTCTCTCCTCACCGTTACATAGTACAAATATTGAAGCTCCCATTAATGGGGTTCTAAGCTATTCTAGTGAGAAGGAGGAAGAAGAAAAGGATCCCTAAACATGTGGGAAAGCCCCATATTTATAGGGAAAAGGGGATGGGGGAAACCTAACCTAATGGGCCAAGTAAGCCCAAAATGGGCTCAAAGGGCCGAAACATGCCTAACAGGCTGAAATGGACCTTGTCATTCGGGCTTCAAGCTGGGGCGATGCCTTGGGCTCCTGAACAGTAACGGACCGGGATAATATACCTCAACAGCTTCTAAAAAGTCTTAAAATTTTGAGAGCATCATCTAAAAAATATTGTATCAAACATACAACTAAAGGTCAATGAAAATCGAGAGAGGGCCATTTAAAGGTCAACGTAGACACTGCGGTGAAGGTAGGGGGACTACAACGGGGTTGGGATGGGTGGTAAGAGACTATATAGGGTCTTTTATTGTCAGTGGAATAAAGAAAAGACTCGATTTGCCAACCTCGCGAAGCTGAAGCCCTTGTGATAAGGGAGGCCATTAGTTGGCTTAGGGACTATGGCTTTGATTTTATTGAATCATCCTTCGGTGTCATTATTGAAAGTAACGCTACCCAGGTTATTAAGAATATCCAGGATAGTTCAGATGATTCGTCCTTCGGTGTCATTATTGATGATGTAAGAGATATTATGACTAGTTTCACTAGTATTTCTATTTCTCATGTGAAGCGATCAGCGAATCGGGTTGCTCACGAATTAGCAAGGGCAGCCGTTTCTATGTCTGATGATGATTGCTATGTGTGGCATACCACACCTCCATATTGTATTTTGAATTCCTTAAACTTTGATTTGATTAATAATATGTAGTTTGACTTCCTTCAAAAAAACAATAGTACAAAAGCACAAAGGTCGAAATGATGTGTACTAACTAGACTTGGCCCGGGACCGGTCTGACTGGCCGGGGAAACAGATCGGCCCACCACTATACGGGACCGGCTCGTCCCGGTGAACCAGTTCCGGTACCGGGCCTAGTCCCAACCCGGGGGGGGGGGGGGGGGTTATAGGGGCAGTTCCGGGGTTGGACAATTGGGGCCTGCCCGGCCGGTCCGGGCCCGGTCCGAGTTTTTTGTTTTTTTTGGGTTTGGGCCTATGGCAGGTGGGCTGGGCTGGGTGTTTTGGCGGGGTTTGGGGGTGGGGGTGGAATAACCTAAGAAAACCTATAAAATATATATATATACTACATATATAAGAACCAACACGGCCCGGAACCGGCCCGGCTCACCCAAAAATTTCCAGGCTCGCCCGGGCCCGACCAGGAACCGGACCGGGCCCGGTCCATCCCTAGTAGTCTAGTACTAACAAACTTATAAGCACATATCAACCATGGGGTAGCTTGTGATTTTGTTTTCTCAAACAAAGCCATAATCAGTAGCTATAAAAGCTAACACTAGAAATGATGAGAACAGAAACAAGAATTAGGAAAAAAATACAAACAGAAGTTAGAGAAGAGGAACCAACTAAACATCTACTTAAGCAATAAAAGAATGAGGAAACTTCAAACAATTATTATTAAAATATTCTGGTAGGTCATCCAAGTGAACCGGATTATCAGTGTCATCCAAAAAAACAAACAAAACGCCCAGTTACATATACATCTACGTTAAGACATGTAAACAAAGAATTTGTAAACAGCAAGAAAATTCAAACAGCTATACAAGGATCAAGACTACCTACGGTATTTTATTGCTAGTGTATGTATGGACTAAACATAACCTGATGTGAATATTGGATTTTTTAAACTGCGTGGAAGACTTTGGGATTGAGAACCAAATCCAGCTCCGAACTGGGATTTCAATTTAAAAAAAAATTATAATAAAATCCATGATACTGGAAAAATCTAAACATGGATTATGCTGTATCACGAAAGAAGCCAGGGGTGTTGAAGAGCCTGAGAAGCGGTGGGTCGGCTTTTAGGATTAATTTGAAGCAGATTGCTTACAAAGTCAATGAACAAAGGATCAGAGAAGACCTGTAACTGATCCTCCAAGGATGTCTCCTCAGGTATTATGTATTCCACTTGATTCGTCTCCTATAACAGAGAAACACAAAAATGACGAATATGCACTAGTTTCTATAAAAGTTGTATACATGAATGAAAAACTATGTTACTCCTAAACAAAGTACACATAAAGGGGTTCATATAAATAATGAAATACTAAATGACTACTACACATGTAATATATCGAAGGATCCAAGAGATTTGCGAAGGAACAAACCTTGTTTATTTGATAGAGGTCAAATTCTTTTGTAAAATACTTGTCTGTCTCTTGTCCTTTCAATAACATATTCATGTCGATGGGACCAAGTACTCCTATCACGCGTGCAAGCAATACTGGAATTTCCTCGTTTGGAAAGAGCACCTGTGATTCAAATTACGAGCCATTCAAAACAATCATGTATTTTCTCCTTTAAAATTTTCACGAAATAATATAACCAACATTACCTTAAAACAATAACTATTATGTAGTATAACAATGTGTTCAGTAACAATATAGTATATGCTTTTAGTTGAGGAGGAAAACAGTGTTCCTACCTCTCCAGTGCATAGCTCAGCCAGTACACATCCAAGAGACCAAAGATCAATTCTATGGTCATATGGGAGGCCTAAGATAACCTCAGGAGCTCTATAGGACCTCGACTGCACATATAAAGACAAGTTGTCTGTCTCAAAACTGTTGGAAAAATGATGATATAAATGTTATTGTTTTTAGTTCTCTTAGAGTTCTAAAATAATATGTATAAAATATGAATTGAGTGTGGCTTATTATACATCAAAGAACAATTTTTTACGTTTGGATTTATATCATTTAATGATTAAAATCCATAGTTGTAAAGATTGTAAAAGTGATGTATTGAGAATTTTTGTTCTATTTATAAAATGATTGGTCTTCTTTAGATGTTATATGATAAAGGAACGTTATTCAAGTATCATATAAAGTGGCTTAGAAATTATCCTATGAGAATCACTTATTCGTACAGATAAAATTAAATGAGTACGGAATAAGAATGTCTGGGATGTAATTTCAAGCTAGTGGCCTATCTAATTTAGAACAAATGTTCAAATTATGTTTTATTTATCATTTTATAATGATAAATACGCATGTGGCTATTAAACATATTTCGGAAGTTTCAAAATTGAAATTTTGAAGTGAGTGTCCGATGTATGAGGTGTGAGCTTGGTCAATATTGTTTGTGATCCTAATTTCTTGGATGGTGGATGCAAATTGATAGGACCGCACTCAAATTGATATATTTTATTTTGATTTCCAAATTTAAAAATCTATCCACATGCATGCTCTCGGTTAATACACATACGTATGAATAAAAGCCAGTCTACACTCCGATTCATTTTGCTTACTTACGCAATACAGAGCACTGAGAAGAATAGAAAAGGCTTCATTTTTTTTCTTTCACTGATTTTACCCTTGTACCGAGAGCATATTAAATCCATAGCATCCTCATAAAGTTTTTATCTACTTAACGAGTCTACGGCATATTGGGCAACGGTCGAAGGTTTCAGTCAAGGTAGCTACAAGTCTGAAACGGTGTAGGATTATCCTGGGAGCGAGTTGGCCAGTCCCGTTCGAGTAGCTATCGAGATACGGGGGCTATCTTTCTTCAAGGCCAGTCCGGTTAACGGACGATCTTACGCTAAGTCTTTCTTTCTTTACCTTTTACATTAATATTTTATATCTAATTGTTGTTATTATTTTATTTGTTCTTGCATTTGGTGGTTTGTCTGGTGATTTGTGATTAAACTCGGGATTTTTTCTGACTGAACTCGCATTATTTATACTATTTTTCTAACAATCTTGAAGAAAGATATTATTTCTCGAGTTTTGAAAATCCAATATGACGAACTTGGAAAATGCTGCTACTTCTGAAAACGTTGTTGTTGAGAATAATGTGAATGAAACCCCTGAAAATAATGTTAATTCTGTGTTTGTGACTAATTCTGGTGACACACCTGAATTTGTTGCTACGGGCTCTCACAGGGTTGATTTGACGGGAATGCCTGAAAAATTTTCCGGGCATTTTTTCAAGCGTTGGCAACAACGCATGAAAATTTGGTTAATCACCAAGGGATTGCTCTCGGTAATTATGACGGTGTGTCCCCCCATTGTCGAGTCTGATCCCAAAAGTCTTGAACGCCAAACTTTATGGCGTGAGAGGAATGAAATAGCCAAAGGAATGATATTGTTGGGACTCTCCGACATGTTATTTGATGTCTATTGCACCCTCCACGGCACGGCTAAAGACCTTTGGGATGAGTTGGATAGGAAATATAATACTGATGACCACGGTCTAGAAAAGTATATTGTTTCCAAATTCTTGAGATTCGACATGAAAGAGGGAAAATCTGTTTTAGAACAAACACAAGAATTTGAGCTTATCTTACATTCTCTCCGTGAAGCAGATATGGAATTGCCTGAAAAATTTAAAGTCATGGCTGTAATTGAAAAATTCCCCAAATCGTGGGAAGATTTTGGTTTGACTTTAAAACACAAAATGAAAAAGATAACTTGGAAAAGTTTGATGCATTCCATTACTGTTGAGGAAGAACATAAGAAAGCGGGTTATATTGTGCCTGTTGAATTTCAGCCAAAGGCTCATGTTGTAACCGGGGGAAAGCAGTCACAAAATTCTAAAAATAAACAACCATCATCTTTTAAACCAATAAAGGCCAAATTAAAAATTGCAAAGAAACCAAAGGCAAACCGGCCATGCTGGAACTGTGGACAGATGGGGCATTGGGCCAAATTATGCCCAAATAAAAAGGCTAAGGCTCAATCTGGTGGACCTCAAGTCAACGTGGTGACTGGAGGAACTAGTTCCGATGGGTATGTTTCCATTAACCCTCAAGTTTTCACTATATATAATTCCAATGAGTGGCTAATAGATACAGGAGCGAATGTGCATGTATGTGCTGATAAATCGCTCTTTGTTTCTTATCAGCCTGCGGTTGGAAGAACAGTGATGATGGGAAACACAAGTGCTGCTAGTGTGCATGGAGTTGGAAAAGTAGAAATAAAATTTCCTTCGGGAAAAATACTTACTTTGCATGGAGTGCATCACGTTCCCGAAATTAGAAGGAACATTGTTAGTGGTTCCATTCTAGTTAGGGAGGGTTATGAGTTATCTTTTAAATTTAATAAAGTTGTAATTTTATTTGGTGGAATTTTTATTGGCAAGGGTTACTTGTCGGATGGACTTTTTAAGATTGTGGTTGATTATTTTGAATTAAATTATGTATCTGAGAATTGTGATTCTTCAACTTTATGGCATTATCGTTTGGGTCACGTTAATTTAGATTCTGTAAAAAGAATGATGAATTTAAATTTAATTCCTAAACACTCTATTGATAAAACTAAGAAATGTATGATATGTGCTACTACAAAACAAGTAAGAAAACCATATCATTCAATTGATAGAAATTCTGAATTACTTGATTTAATTCATACCGACATTTGTGAGTTTAATGGAGTGTTGACTCGTGACAAGAAGAAATACTTTATCACTTTTATTGATGATTATTCTAAATACTGTTATGTGTATCTACTTAAGGGTAAAGATGAAGCTCTTGAAAAATTCTTAATTTTTAAGAATGAAATAGAGAATCAAACCGGCAAGAAAATTAAAAGGTTAAGATCTGATAGGGGAGGAGAGTACACTTCTAATTTAGTTGTACTAGAATGCCAAAAATATGGTATAGTACATGAAGAAACACCTCCTTATTCACCACAATCAAATGGAGTAGCTGAACGGAAAAATAGAACTTTTAAAGATATGATTAACAGTTTATTAGAGAATTCTGGATTACCTAAGTTTATGTGGGGGGAAGCCTTGAATACGGCCTGCCATATTCTGAACAGGATTCCCATGAAACATAAAGATAAGTGTCCATTTGAACTCTTGATAGGCAGAAAACCAAGTTTAAAATATTTCAAAGTGTGGGGCTGTCTTGCAAAAGTATTAGTCCCTGAACACAAAAGAAAGAAACTTGGGCCTAAAACTGTTGATGCAATTTTTATTGGTTATGTTGAACATTCTTATGCATTGAGATTTTTGGTTATTAAATCTGAAATTTCTGGTATAGATGTTAATACTATTATAGAACTTCGTGATGCTACTTTCTTTGAAAATGTTTTCCCAATGAAAACGGGTGTGCCCCAAAATATTTCTTTTAAAAATCAAGAAACCACATTTAATTCAATTCCTGATCAAGTGGAAAAGATGACAAATGTGGGGGTAGAATCTAGTAGTACTAGTCTCGCTAGTTTTGAATCAAATGAACTAGATGAGCCTAGAAGGAGCAAACGGGCTAGGATCACTAAGAAATTTGGAAGTGATTTTATCACTTACAATATTGAGGGTGATCCAGTTTCCTTTAGAGATGCAATGGCTACTTCCGAAGCCATGCATTGGAAGGATGCCATTAAAAGTGAAATGGACTCCATTGTTCAAAATGGAACATGGGAGCTCGTTGATCTTCCACCCGGGTGTACTACTATTGGGTGTAAATGGATTTTTAAGAAGAAATTAAAACCAGATGGAACCATTGATAAATTTAAGGCCAGATTAGTTGCAAAGGGTTACAAACAAAAAGAAGGTATTGATTTTTTCGATACATATGCTCCGGTTGCAAGAATGACCACAATTAGAATGCTAATAGCAATGGCCTCCGTATATGGTCTTAAAATTCATCAAATGGATGTTAAGACAGCTTTTCTTCATGGTGACCTTGAAGAAGAGATTTATATGGATCAGCCTGAAGGATTTGTGGCAAAAGGCAATGAGAGAAAAGTTTGTAAATTAGTTAAGTCTCTATATGGACTAAAGCAAGCCCCTAAGCAATGGAACGAAAAATTTGATAAAATAATTCTTTCGTTTGGATTTACTCTTATAGATGCTGATCAAAGTGTTTATTATAAATGTAAAGGTGATATTAGTATTATTTTATGCCTATATGTTGATGATATATTATTATTTGGCACTAATGATAATATTATTTTTGAGACTAAATCATTTTTGAAAACAAAGTTTGAAATGAAGGATATGGGGGTGGCCGAAGTAATTCTTGGACTAAAGTTGACTAGATCAACTGAAGGAATTTCTATTTCTCAGTCGCATTATATTGAAAAATTAATTGAGAAATTTGGATTTAAAAATAGTAGAATTGCTAAAACACCCTATGATCCTTCAGTAGCTTTGTATAAAAATGAAAGTGGTGTTCCTGTGTCTCAATTAAGATATTCTCAGATGATTGGTAGCTTGGGTTACTTAGCTAACTGTACTAGACCTGATATTGCATTTTCAGTGTCTAAGTTAAGTCGGTACACTTGTTGTCCGAATAGAACTCATTGGGAAGCCTTAGATAGAGTATTTAGATACTTAAAAGGAACTATTTCCTTGTGTTTGCATTACGGTAAATATCCTCCTGTTCTTGAGGGATATAGTGATGCAAGCTGGATAGCTAAGAACTCCGGGAGTTATGGATGTACCGGTTATGTGTTTACGTTTGGTGGTGGGGCCGTTGCCTGGAAGTCCACTAAACAAACAATACTTTCTCGGTCTACTTTTGAGGCTGAATTGTGTGCGTTGGATACTACTGGAATTATGGCTGAATGGTTTATGGGACTAATGTCTGAGTTACCTATATTCAGCAAGCCAATTCCACCTATTTGTTTGCATTGTGATAGTATGAGCACAATTACAAAAATTAGGAGTACCAAGTATAATCAAAAGACTAGGAGACACATTCAAGTTAGATTAAAAACTATAAGGAAATTTGTGTCTCAAGGGGTGTTTGCTGTTGATTTTGTTGGATCCAAAGATAATACAGCGGACCCTTTAACAAAAGGACTTGATTTAAATCAAGTGATAAAATCCAGGTTAGGAATGGGACTGAAACCCAACAATTATTCAACTACGGTAGCAACCCAACCTATCTGAGTGGAGATCCCACAAAGTAGGTTCAATGTGGTATAAACAAACCGTAGAGTGAATTGTGCATCTCATTAAAATATTTAATGAGTTCTATTCCTTGATAAGCCTGAGAGATGCTGAAATTGCTAAGTAAGTAAGAGTTTAAGACTCTGAATGGGATCGAGCTTTAATTAATAGCAGAGTGTTAGCAATGCACTCTTGGAGATGCCCAACTATGAGAATGTTATTGTGTGGCCGCAATAAGAGAATAGGGGTTAATTCTCGATGACATTCTTGAGACAGGATCGGGACGCACGGCCGTAAAGCGTCAACCCTATAGATCGTTGCCATTGCCATTAGTGTGTTGCTTTTATCCCACGCCAACACTATCAAGGTTCGAGTTCAAGAACTCTGTTCACTCAGTTCCTGTGGGGGTTAGGGATAAAAGCTTAGAAGTTGGTTCAAACCGGAAGGTACCATATTCGAAAGCACACTATGTCTGTTAGAGTCTAGTCTACAACTATGGATTTGTGGGGGATTGTTGGAAAAATGATGATATAAATGTTATTGTTTTTAGTTCTCTTAGAGTTCTAAAATAATATGTATAAAATATGAATTGAGTGTGGCTTATTATACATCAAAGAACAATTTTTTACGTTTGGATTTATATCATTTAATGATTAAAATCCATAGTTGTAAAGATTGTAAAAGTGATGTATTGAGAATTTTTGTTCTATTTATAAAATGATTGGTCTTCTTTAGATGTTATATGATAAAGGAACGTTATTCAAGTATCATATAAAGTGGCTTAGAAATTATCCTATGAGAATCACTTATTCGTACAGATAAAATTAAATGAGTACGGAATAAGAATGTCTGGGATGTAATTTCAAGCTAGTGGCCTATCTAATTTAGAACAAATGTTCAAATTATGTTTTATTTATCATTTTATAATGATAAATACGCATGTGGCTATTAAACATATTTCGGAAGTTTCAAAATTGAAATTTTGAAGTGAGTGTCCGATGTATGAGGTGTGAGCTTGGTCAATATTGTTTGTGATCCTAATTTCTTGGATGGTGGATGCAAATTGATAGGACCGCACTCAAATTGATATATTTTATTTTGATTTCCAAATTTAAAAATCTATCCACATGCATGCTCTCGGTTAATACACATACGTATGAATAAAAGCCAGTCTACACTCCGATTCATTTTGCTTACTTACGCAATACAGAGCACTGAGAAGAATAGAAAAGGCTTCATTTTTTTTCTTTCACTGATTTTACCCTTGTACCGAGAGCATATTAAATCCATAGCATCCTCATAAAGTTTTTATCTACTTAACGAGTCTACGGCATATTGGGCAACGGTCGAAGGTTTCAGTCAAGGTAGCTACAAGTCTGAAACGGTGTAGGATTATCCTGGGAGCGAGTTGGCCAGTCCCGTTCGAGTAGCTATCGAGATACGGGGGCTATCTTTCTTCAAGGCCAGTCCGGTTAACGGACGATCTTACGCTAAGTCTTTCTTTCTTTACCTTTTACATTAATATTTTATATCTAATTGTTGTTATTATTTTATTTGTTCTTGCATTTGGTGGTTTGTCTGGTGATTTGTGATTAAACTCGGGATTTTTTCTGACTGAACTCGCATTATTTATACTATTTTTCTAACAACTGCTTCCGAGATCAATTACTTTTATTTCACACTTCTTAAAACTTTTGATGAGGATATTTTCAGGCTTTAGATCGCAGTGGATGATCCCCAAACTGTGCAAATACTCCAGAGCCACGAGGCACTGCCGTGCTATAGCCTGTAAAAGTGAAAACGACCAATTTAATGTGATAAAATGCCGAAAAAAGAATATTCGTTAAAAAACTGCTTTGGCTAAACCAAACCTTTAGCTTTAACATTGTAAAATATGGTTCACTCTCACATTCTCGATTGTATTTCTCAAACTCATACAAGTCAGCTCGCAAAAGCTCACAAACAATGAAGAGATGCTCCTGCATGTTTTTCAGAGAATTATTTTAGTCCTTACCCATTGCTAATCAGAATGCAAATATTAATGCGGAATAACAAGAAATCTCCCGCCGACAGCTCCAGTCATGAGTGAATTTAGTAGTAATCGGTGAAATTTGGATAATCTTCTGATGTGAATACTTTTGTAATATCATAAGTAAACACTTTAAATAATACTACGTAAAACGGATTTTCCTTTAAATTTTACTACTAGTTAAATAACTATCTGAAAACAAGTTAACTTTAAGATAAAAAAATATTACTAATGCAGTTACCAGCCGTCACTAGCCAGTTGTTGGTAACTGTTGTAATATTTGGTGATTTGGTCATTGCCAGTTGACTACAAGTAACTGCGATAGTAACATTTTTACACAGGATAGTTCATTAGTAATATTTTATGGAATTTTTCCAAAATAAATATAATAAATTTCATATTCAACAAGTATTTGTGTGCTAGAGCCTACCTGATAGTAAAAGTAATCATAGAGGCGTAATATATGGCGTTCATCACCAGGATCATGCTGGTTTACAATCTTCAGAAGTTTGATTTCATCCAAGCTCTGATCAAAGCAGTCCTTGTCATTTTTTATTATCTTCAAGCAAACATCTACTCCAGAGTGAAGATCATGTGCCTGAAAAACTTTGCTGAAGGTGGCTGAACCGAGGTACTCCGTTACATGATATCTACCCGCGACGATACTGTTAAGAACTATAGGGATGTCCTTGTTCTCCTCAAATCCTGTCCTGTGGATGATGGCATATAATATAAGTACAACTGTTTGCTACAAAAGAACCTGCAAGAAATAAACTCATTATCTCCATTAAAATATAGAGATGGTAAAAAATATATAGAGATGGTAACTTGCGATGCGAAGCACTTGGAGCATGATAAGCCATGTTTCGTTCAAATGTAAATTTCCTTTAAAGAACCACAAAGATTGCTCCAAGGCAGAGCCGGCGTTTCGCATGTTCAACATGTTCTACAAAACAGGGCCTCCTGATTTTTGGGGCCCCAATTTTTTTAAAAAATATTAGTATTACATAGTATTAATAGAGAAATAAATACTAAACAATAAAATACAGTTTTTTATCAGTACTCTTACTCATATTTTACTCAAATTGATTGAGCGATAAATTGTGGTACTTTAAATCGAGTATTAAGTGATTTTTAGAATATTAATTACATTATTTGATGAGTATTCAATTGATTTCAGTACAAGTATTTCATTTGATTTTTTAATTCTTAATATTAATATAGGGTCGCGATTTTACGGTTGGAACGGGGCCTCCAAATTCATTGGACGACTCTGCTCCAAGGGCCTCCTACCCATCTGGAGGGCATGTTAAAGTGTTAAACCATCTTACAATGGCTAAATACAAAAAATATAAACTCATATAGAAAGTAGTGGCTTACTTTTTCTATCAACTTATCTTTTTTTAGTATGGAACTCCATATCTTAATAACCAAAAGTACTGAAGAGAGACATACGGTTTTCAAAGGTGGATTACCAGACTAGACTAGCTAACTAATTACTACCTGCGTCCCATAATGTGAGATGCATATGAGTTTGGCGCGGTTTTTTTCTAGTAAAAAAACCTCCAAAAAGTAAGAAAGAGAAAAATAGATCCACAAAAAGTAAAGGGTGAAATGATAGATAAAGGGATAAAGTGGGAAAGTAAAAAGTTAGTAGAGTCCAATTTAAGAAAGTGTTCATATTTTAGGGACAACTCAAAAGGAAAGTGTATCTTACAAAATAGAAAAGTATTCTATCTTTTGGTGTGATTCAATCTGTTTTATTTTGTGTTTGTGGCCAAAATGGAAAGAAAAAACAATTATGAGTTTTGCCCTACTTAAAAAGTGGGTGAACAACGGGGCTGGGAAAGGGAGTTAGCCTAAAATGAGACTTATTTAGCCGGTTAGCCCTAAAAAGGAATAAAAGTACTTGCTTATGAGTAAATGTATCTTATTTTCAGATAGAGCGGAGAGAGTTCTATATGAACAAATTTACAATACCTGTTTCTTCGGTGTATAATTCTAAGATCGAATGTTTGAAATTCATCCTCGCTGGTATCAAACATTTGAAGCTCATCGATAGCAGGATCGCCTTCTTCATCTGCTTCTAAATCAGCTTCTTTTGGTTCTCCATCAAATTCTTTGTCGGAGCTGTAAGTTGAATTCTTTTTTGTAATGGAGTTAATGCTTTCATTTTCGATGCTTCTTTCTTCTCCAGATTTTTCCTGGATCAAATCCTTTTCATTGGTTAACTTCAGATCCACAACACCATAGTCGCTAAGGTCCTCTGTATAGACTGCTCCTGTGCCACCACAGCAAGCACAAAGGGGGGAGGAACATCTGTAATCTGCACAAAGTTCTTCACTCTTTCGAACATTTCCTTCATCTTCCACACATTTATAAAAAAAGTCACTTTCATTTGGAAATTTATCTTTAGTGTCCTCATTATGATGATTCCCCGAGCCTAAGGTCATAACAAATTTATCCTCACTAGGGACAGAAGCAAAATCTGAGCCTCCAAAATCAGGCGGCATGGAATAATCTTCATCTTTTTCCTTGTACCAGAAACTGTCATTTTGCATATCGAAATCATGATAGTCTCGTGCTGTCCCAAACTGTGACATTCTATCAGATGATGCTTGAGAGCTCGGATATGCGTCACAACGTATTCCATATGGATTTGTGAACTCTACAAGTAATAAAAGTGAACAACTAAATAAACATAGGAATATAACACCTGGACTTCTCTATGTGTTTTTTAAATAACTCCAACAATCCCACTAGCATATAAGAGCTGGACTAGGCAGTAACGTTAGTTTCAAGTAATCACCAAAATTGGGGTTTAAATAGAGTATTAGCTCAGCTAAGAACTAAAAGCAACAGATTTTCTACTATAACAGTATGGCATGTATAATGTTAAGCCATCTCACCCCGGCGTCCGGCCCGATATAAAAAGTGCTAACCCACTTACTGGTATGGCTTCAAACTAACATACAAGACTTTGGAATCCTCCTATCGCGTGTAAGACTTTAGACTTCTCATCTTATTACGCTTACCTTTTATAATATGAGTAATTTCCATATGGAGACTTACACACTATAATCAACCTACTAGATAAACAAATGTATCTTAAAAAATGTTTATCATATCTTTATTAGTATCTCTGTATTTGATTTAGATGTGAGACCAAACCACCTAACCTAAGACATTGTGATCCTAGTAATGACCAAAATGAGATTTTGGAATAATTACCTTCTTTTAGTTTCACACAATCACCAAATAGGGATTTAACTTGATTCTCATGTAATTTCATAAACAAAAGCAACAACTTTTCTATTAAAACCATACAACTCTCACTTACAGTAAAGCTAAACATAAACAGAAGATACCAGATGAACAGAGCTCTGTGGTTGAAGAACCCAAGCTTATAAACTCATCCTCAGACGAATGGGGGCTTTGATTACCACTTCCACCAAACCCACCACCGGAAACCTCCTCAGTCCTCTGGGTGGGCGGAATCTTGAGCTCAGAAGGCGGCGGCGCCACGGGAAAGAATACCCTCTGGAAATCAAATGAACCACCCAATCGGGATCTCTCCACGATGTCTTCCTTCAAAGCAAACTCAGACTGGGTAAACCCATTCTTCTTAAGAAATCCAAGCACGGCCTCAACGTCTGTATAAACTGCCATTCCAGGCTTTCCAGCCACCACCACGGCACCGCCGCAGATGAATTCAAGGAGAGGGACGGCGGCGGGGCAGAAATTGGTTCAGGGGAAGTGAGGGAGGAGCGGAGGAGATTGGTGATTGGAGCTCAAGAATCGGGCGTCGCATATTCCGTATGATCATATACATGACAATAATTGTACGTGTACAGTATAATAGTATAATATAGAGTGAGAAAGAGATATACATATAGAGAGAGAGTGAAGGATAGAAAAGGGGAAAGGGCCGTGTTTTGCTCAAGGAAATACAGTGAAGCTGAAGCTAACGGGAAGTTGGGAGAAGACTATTTGACCAACTTTGGATGGAAGGTAATAAGAGGGTGGGATCTCTTTTTTTCCCTCGTGAAGACCGGTAAAATGTCCGACGTGGGCCCATTGTCAACAACCACGTACAAAACGAGGAAAAGAAAAGGATAAGAGAACGAAAAAGAAAAAGAAAAGCAAAAGCGCATGTTTATGAGGTCATAATCAATATATATATATATATAAAAGAGAAACTTTTTAAAAGTATACAAAGCGCCACATAATACTGCCATGTCATTATATATATATTAATATTTAGTTATTTTTATACCTTCTATTTTATTAGCTAGATTCTGTTTTTGATTGCATATTGATATGGAAACAAAAATCCGTACAAATCCACCTTAATCTATTTGGTAACTTTTTCAAAAATCATTAATAACTCGTACATATTATTATATTGTTTACAAACCATATAATACTAACAAATATTACGAGACTCTTGATCCCTACTTAATAAAAATGGTACAACAATCTAAGGATTTTACATATATATGTGCATAAATTACGAAAACTTATTTTGGTGTAGAAAAACGTGAATTGCATAACATTTAACATTTATAAGAATAATGATAATGATATCTTAAAACATGATAAATAAGTAAAAGTCAATAACAAAGTACCTACCATATTAAAGAGATGAATTATTCATTTTTTGCCCACTTAACAGATAAATCAGCCAAATTGCTATTAATTTTGTCTTCAAAGTAATTTGATAAAAATAAAAATGTAATAATAGTGTCCCTCTTCCTAAAATGTACGGAGTAATATTTTATTTTTCTATTTTTAAGAGCATACAAAGCGCCACATAATACTGCCATGTCATTATATATATATTAATATTTAGTTATTTTTATACCTTCTATTTTATTAGCTAGATTCTGTTTTTGATTGCATATTGATATGGAAACAAAAATCCGTACAAATCCACCTTAATCTATTTGGTAACTTTTTCAAAAATCATTAATAACTCGTACATATTATTATATTGTTTACAAACCATATAATACTAACAAATATTACGAGACTCTTGATCCCTACTTAATAAAAATGGTACAACAATCTAAGGATTTTACATATATATGTGCATAAATTACGAAAACTTATTTTGGTGTAGAAAAACGTGAATTGCATAACATTTAACATTTATAAGAATAATGATAATGATATCTTAAAACATGATAAATAAGTAAAAGTCAATAACAAAGTACCTACCATATTAAAGAGATGAATTATTCATTTTTTGCCCACTTAACAGATAAATCAGCCAAATTGCTATTAATTTTGTCTTCAAAGTAATTTGATAAAAATAAAAATGTAATAATAGTGTCCCTCTTCCTAAAATGTACGGAGTAATATTTTATTTTTCTATTTTTAAGAGCATACAAAGCGCCACATAATACTGCCATGTCATTATATATATATTAATATTTAGTTATTTTTATACCTTCTATTTTATTAGCTAGATTCTGTTTTTGATTGCATATTGATATGGAAACAAAAATCCGTACAAATCCACCTTAATCTATTTGGTAACTTTTTCAAAAATCATTAATAACCCGTACATATTATTATATTGTTTACAAACCATATAATACTAACAAATATTACGAGACTCTTGATCCCTACTTAATAAAAAATGGTACAACAATCTAAGGATTTTACATATATATGTGCATAAATTACGAAAACTTATTTTGGTGTAGAAAAATGTGAATTGCATAACATTTAACATTTATAAGAATAATGATAATGATATCTTAAAACATGATAAATAAGTAAAAGTCAATAACAAAGTACATACCATATTAAAGAGATGAATTATTCATTTTTTGCCCACTTAACAGATAAATCAGCCAAATTGCTATTAATTTTGTCTTCAAAGTAATTTGATAAAAATAAAAATGTAATAATAGTGTCCCTCTTCCTAAAATGTACGGAGTAATATTTTATTTTTCTAAAAAATGTTGAGATAATGATTAGAAATTTTGTTCAACAGAGATAATGATTAGAAATTTTATTTTGCAATTGTGTTAATACTTCGCATTTTGCTTCATCTTCATACACTTCTTTCTTAATTATTAACATAATGATAAAAATTGTAACCACCATATAATTGAAATTAAAAAACGAAATTAAATCTATTAGATATTCTAATATAGAATCTTAAAATAATACTTCTGATCAAGTAGTTTACTTAATAAGGATTAAAATTGATATCAAACATAAATACATACATGTATGTATATTTTCACAAGTAAATACATTTAGGTCTAGCCAAAGAAGTAAATATGTTTGGTTATTTCTTTATTTTACAACTACAATTTAAATGTGCATTCACTTTTGAAATAGATTCCTAATCCAAATTAGAAAATCTTTATATGTTTACAAATACCTACTTTTATTTTAATAGATTTTTTTAATTGGATTGATTTCAGTTCCAAATCAAATCAGATCAGATTAAACTTTAATAATAATAATAATAATAATAAGTCACATAAAATGTAAAACAAACATATACCAGACCATATTAATTCATACCAAATCAAACCCAAAATTTTAATTCAATTAAAAATGTCCTTATTAATGAGTAAAATGTAAGATCTCACAATTAAAAGTTTTAAATGTGTATTTCATACCAAGTTGAATGAGAAATACTAGAAAAATATTATTTTGAAATGCTCAATAAAGTAATTTAGATGTTCATAACAATTAAAAGTTGTTTTCAATGTAACGAAATAATGAGTAAAATGTTAAAAAAACATAAATTGCCCTAAATAGGAGTAAAAACGTTTTGAAATATCAAAATAGGAGTATCATGTTTTTTATTCCCTCAATAGGAGTAATTTTTGCCATATTTGGAATAACTAGACTTTTAAACATGACATTTTTTCCAAACTTGGCAGATTACTCCTATTCAGAGAATAAAAAAGATGATACTCCTATTTTGGAATTTCAAAACATTTTTACTCCTGTTTAGGGAATTCTCTCTTGAAAAAACTCCATTGTTTTACATTTATGGACTTACGGTGTGACGAAATAATGAGTAAAATGTAACATCTTATTATTAAAAGTTAAGGGTATGTACTCAGTATTTCACATCAAGTTGAATGAGGAATAGTAGAAGAAAAAAACTTGTGGTGCATAATAAAGTAATTTAGAGGACGTGAGATTATGAATTCTTTAAAATCACGTTCATAGCAATTATATATACTTGAGATGCTTATGTAGAAGGTCGATTTAACTATTTTTCATATAATCTTTTCTTGGCTTCACAAATGGAATATATTTACAATTTTTTTTTTCATGATTTAGGAGATTCCACCCATTCAGCTAGAATTTAATCAATTTCAGTAAAATTAGTTAATTCGATTTACTTCAGTTATCAAACAACCTCTATATTAGACTAAGTTTATTTTTCTTTTAAATCACATTACATATGATCCAAAAGAAATCAAATTTCAAATTAGCTAAATTATATATACTGCCCGTGCATCGCACGGGCTTGAAAGCTAGTGCTCAATATAGGGGGACATTTTAAATCGAACATCAAATACGATAGTATAAATTAACTATGAGATTAGTAGCACGTTTATCAATATTAAAATTCACTTCACAAAACAATAAAATGAATGAATTGTGATTTATAGATATATTGAAATTGTTGGAACTTTATATTAACAATTGAACTAATTAAATCTACTTGTTAATAAAAATAAAGATTACAAATTATTAACTTTATTTTTTTTTGTTTTTTGAAAATAAAAACATTAATTGGCATTAATCAAATCAAAGGACAAAGGGTTCACAATACAACTCGGGGGTGAAGACATCCAAATTTGACTCTCACACAAAGAACATGCTTCCTTAGCTAATGTCCCGAGCTCATGTCCCGAATACAACTCGCTGAACGTCTAACAAAAGAAAAGGTGAAATTATTAAAACTCGAGCAAACTCGAGCTCATGTCCTGAATATCTTCCGCCAACAAACCTCCCGAAGACAGACTTGATCCCTTAAGAATCTCGGTAATTGCCAGTAAGGAGTCCTACTCAATTTTTACAAAACTCCAATCCTGCTCCTTAAGCCAACTCAGGACCCCTCGGAATCCCAAAAGTTCAGCTTCCAGCGGAGAACAACGACCTACCTTCTTCTGTGAGCCACCTTCCAAAAATGCTTGTCTTCATCGCGGACCACCCAGCCTAGCCCGAGTCCTCTCCTGGCTAGGCATGGCAATGGGTCGGGGCGGGTACTGCAAGACCCAGACCCGCCCCGTGGCTTGGCGGGGCAGGTCTGCCCCGCCCCGTGACCTGCACGGGTCCAAACTTGTTGACCCATGACCCGCCTCGCCCCGTCGTAACCTAATTTGTTAGTATGTATTTTTATTTGTGGGAAGTTGTTACAATTGAATCTACATAAAGTTTATCTCTAAATAATAATTAAAAATTAATACATTAAATCAAATTCATGATTTACCCTAAAAATTTCAAAAATTAAGGAAAAATTACTCAGACTTGAATAGTTAATCTATTTAATTATACTAATAATTGAACATATGTATTAAAATGCTATATATAAAGAAGACATTGATAATCCGTCGTTCATCTCTTTCTCATATACAGAGTGTGTATTAATATATTATAAGATCAAAGAATTTATGATTTACTGTATACACAAATATGTATTTTGAAGTATATTTGTAGTATAATTTAAGAAAAAGTATGTATGCTTATGTATTGAGCGGGTCGGGTCGGGTCGGGGCGGCACGAGTCAATACTAATACTCGGATCCACCCCATTGTATAGGCGGGGCGGGGCGGACCCGCCCCATTTGGAAGACGGGGCGGGCCGGACCCTCCCCAAATGTCTCGGGTCAGGACAGGTCACTGCGGGTTGGGTTTTTTTGACATCCCTACTCCTGGCCATAGTAGCATCCACATTAGCCTTCAGCCATCCCTATTTTGGATGCCTCCAACACTGCACAT